AAAGTGACACTAAGTCCAGCAGCCACCGCGTCTATCCAAAAATGTGGCGGTAGCCATATTATATCAAATTTAAACAATATATGTACAGTTCAAAAGCAAACACAAAAACTTCAATATAAGTACAAAATATGGAAAGAATAACAACATACAATGGTAAAATCTCAAATTGGAATCAAATAAAATACCAAAAATGTCAAGAGAAAAAGTCCATCATGTCATAGCAAAAATATGTAAACATGGAGGGATTTTCCAAAACACAAAACATTCAAAAAGAATTCTACAGTGAACGCTTAAACTACAATCTGACTGGTTAGTTTTAGTATAACTACAATTAGTTATGGAAATAAATAACAATGAATTCAAGATTACTCAAGGAAATAGCGAATGCCATCGCAACTGTTTTAAAACATATTTTAATCCATCAGTAACTCAAGGTATATTATCAAGTGATTAGAACGCAATGGTAAGTCCTGTCGTCAAAACAAATACGAGACAAAAACCTGAGAACCATAAACCCCTAAGCTTGGCCAGCATCGTTTAGAAAAATTAGGAATGGTTATTCGTAAAGAGCTGTTCAAGTACCAAGACGAAAAGCTGATTGTTTCTTAGGAACAGCTCGAATTCAGAACAGGTTGTTCATGTCCGGAAAAACAGTGGTGGCAGTTTATTGTTTCAAAACGATTCACAAAAATTGCCTAATACTGATCGGTAAGGTATTGATAAATGTCCGGTCAATAACACTTGGCTACTTGTTATCCAGATACGTGGTGACCCGAGATTGTGAACCAGAAACGTGTGTGGCTTGTATGGATGTTCACGGGTCAACTCGATTCTGACGGGATTGGTGTAGCTTTCTAACAAACATTGAAGTCAAACGTCCTGCGGAGATATCATTACATTAGACTTCAGAACTACTGCGCGATACCGTGCATAGCCACTATGGTCTGTACGCAGACTTTAGCAGTGTTGACATGAAAACATTTCTGAATTTTTATATAAGATTCCTTTGTCCCAAACTTGAGTATTAATTATAAGCAGTTAGCAGCATAGAACGCTTGGAGGTGGCAAAATTACATTTTTTTGAAAAACTTGCCTATGACCTATGGTGGAGCATAGTCGGCTTAACACCATTTGCCAAATAAATCTGCCCTTGGCCTTCCTTTCCAGTTCTACTAACTCGCCGTTCATTCTTTTCATTTCCTCTTCTTTATGAATGCAAATTAGGCATTATATGGGATGCAGTTGAATGCCTTTCTTGATGTGTCCTACCAAACTCCGACGCTTTTTCCTAATTTGTTCTTTAGCTGAAATATCTGGTCTGTTCTCTATCACAGTAGGTTGTCGCTGATGGTGTTTGGCCAACGGATCTGGATTATCTTGCCTATATAACTGTTAATAAACACGCGTATCTTGTAGGTGATGGCCTTTGTAGCTCTGCAAGTTTCCACTCTATGCAATAAAACTACCTTAAAGTTTGTGTGGAAACTTTTGGCTCTAATATCGTTGGTTGATAGCTGCTTTGAGTTGCATATGTTCTTCAATCGTAGAAATGCTGTCTTCGCTTTGCTAGTCTGTGTCTTTCTATTAACATCAAATCGTCCTTGTTTACAAAAAATTCTGCACAGGTATGTGAAAGTTTCCACATCTAATGCTTCTCCATCAAGTGTGATTTCAACAGAAAAAAGATACTACATTTGTAGGGGCATTCTGTGAACGCAACGTTACTCTTTGAATGATTCATGTGATTTTCTTGCTTCATGCTCGAATCGGAGTATTATGGATTATTTTTCTCGTACTACAGCAGAGAAAACTGTGACGATCGAACTTCATGTTCACAGAAGATTTCATATGCTTTCCAAAAGAATCTCATTTTAACAAACTTTCAGCTCACACAGAAAACAGTAGATCTATATTCATTATCTGATAGGACCTCAATCCTAAATTTTCAGAACATAATCATATGCGATGGTAAGTTATGCTTTGAAATTCCTAATATTAACTGAATGCTATAACTCAAACACCTTCTTGAATAACGGGTTCATTTTGACTTCACTAAGTTAGAGAAATCATTATCTCTTCAAACTACAGAAATTATTTTTACTGAAACACCTTCATGTCCGCATTCGTGAAAACCATAAATTAGTAACATTGTGACCTATTTTTTACGGTTTCGACCCCAGAGCTTCCCATCATATTTTTAAAACTTTAAATCCGTCACATTTAGATTATGTAAATATAGCGCATCCTCACTCATTCCAACAGGATATGAATAAAATGATTAGTTGTGAACTCAGTTTGAGCACTCAAGTTCTAAACTCATGAAGAGAGCTCAAAGCTATCCGTCTGAGAATTGGTGACCGAGGAGTTTACTTTAAATGGTTTTAAATTTCCTAGTTGCCACTGTTTCCCCTACGCAGGCTACGTTTCAGGACAAAAACTCAAAATGCGGACACAACATATCAAACTAGACTGACGCTACGACTGCCTAAATTTACAAGTGCGATTCAAATAACTTCACTGTGTTCTTTTAATACAAAAACTAGTATGTTCTTAGGGAAACTGATTTAATTTACAAAAATTTTATTCTGCTTGCTAAATATATGTAAATATATCTTGAGCCTGGTAAATAGATTGATGAACAAAAGTTTTGAGTACTCTCTCTTCAGGCAGAATGGCCACATTTGAGCTATTTCGTTGTTGAAAGACCTTGATAAGGTCAACAAATGTTCAAAAATACAATCCAAGTCGTGTAATGATGCATTTAATTAATTTACTTCTGACTGGATAAATTATTGTTTGTTTCACATTTCAAATACGTAGTAAATTTCAGCCAACTTTTTTAACCTTTTTCTAAGCAATCAGGGTTTCTAAATAGTCGAATGTCCATCGATTATACGGAAAATTTTCAGACATCACAAACTACGAATTCTCTACATCGAACCCAAGTAAACGAGGTTTTTAAAATATTTCTGTATGAAATATTTCACGGTTAGCGCGTTTAATCCGGACATAAAGGATGTTTCGTATAACTGCTCTAATGTTCACTAATTACCACATTGTACATTAACTATCTCTTAAATTATTAAATTTTTCTTTAAGCTTCGAATACATGCACGATTCGCCTTTAAAAATGAATATATTTCCTCTGAAATCGCTCTTGTATATTTGTTCCATCATTTTATATTGTTCTAATGTTAGTTAAATACATGATACTTATATCTACATTATTGTATTGCAGGGTTGTGTTTTGTGTGTGATTGATCTAGTACTCCTATGTATGAATTTTGGGAACAATCTGATGCTTTATGAAGTATTTGATTGTTTAGTTGTGTTTCCTAAGTTTGTGCTTAATTAGATTGCATATCAAATTATTCAGATGATGAATTTTAGACACCCAGTAACATTATTAACTTGCGAATTTACACAGTTTGATTTTTATTCAAAAATATCGTCCCACAATAGTTCGTCACATCTCTATTTTATGAACTGATAGAAAAGTTGTATGAAAGTTGTATTTTGTATGGTTCGTACAGTTTTAGACTTAATATAACGTTAAACATTTCGAGTGTTTAAATTTTTCAGCGAATACAATACTTGATGTTTGGCGTACTAAGTATGAAGTTCCTAGTTCCGATTGTCATGTACAATCGTAAAGGAGCGTTAATTCATAATTCGTCAAAGATAGTTAATCAGATTACGTACAAAGATCATAACTTTAATAGTATATGTAGATTTCATTATTTCCATAGTTAGAACCATAAAACGAGCTTAGCTAGACCACCATTTAAAAGGCCAGACAACTGGGCGGCCGTTTCATGCTAGGATGGGGATCTACAATAGTTTGCATCCGAATTCCTGCACTTCGGAACAGAACACAGGATCTTCAGTCTCACGCGCAAGTGCTTAGCCTGTAGACACTGAACCGACTTCCGACTGATTTGATGTCTTGAACCAGGTTCTGGGTTTGATTCATGCGTGCGGGATAGTAAGTGGTAGAGGTAGTATAGGTACGTATTAAGGGTAATCCAAAAGAATAACAATCGAAGATATAGTTCGAGAAGTATATCCTAGTGAAATAAATTTGAAACGAGAAATAACGATCATAAAGAAATCAAACGACTAGAATTTGAGCGGAGATGAAGAACTGATGCATCTGCGCCATTGCAAACGACCTGGGTCCCTCAGACCACAACCTGATAGTCGACACTTACTAACATGGATCAGTACAGTTGTCTGTGACCTCATGGATTTGTGCCATGTTTTGTTTTGGCCGCTTCTATCTTTCTTCCAACCTGCTCCTACACAAAACATCGCTCGACGGGGGAGTCGGTGGTTGAACATTCGTAACACATGTACCAACCACTTCAGCTGGTGAAGTTTCAATACTTTATCTATTGATTTGCCATCCCTACCTAGTACTTGTTTCCTAACGACAGCATTGCTTAGTCTGTTGTCTCAGGATACACGAGCAATGCTTCAGAGACATCTATAACCGAATACTAATAACCTACTCTTACCGGCCATGTTTCGCCTCCATAAAGTAGGACGGAGCGAACGGCTGCGCAGTGCACCCGACCTTCGGTTAGCAAACGGATCTCTCGCCTTCCACGTAAGTGACGCAAGTTGACAAAAGTCAATCGAGCTTTCTGTATCGTGCTGAGATTTCGTCAGTCATCAGTCCGTCGGCACTGATTAAACTCCCAAGATAGGTGAAACGGTCAACATGCCCAACCAATTCACTTCCAAATCGCAATAAGTGCAATGAGATTCTAATAGTCCAGTGGTTCTAATTGACAGGTAAAGTAATTCTTAGTTTAGGCTCCTCTCTGCCTAACAAAGCTTTGACTCGATGACCCTAGATTCTGACTCTTAACTCTTAGGCCGTTTAATTAAAAATGTGTTTTTAAGTCTCCAACAATGAAGGTGCGTTAGAGCCTTGTTAGTCCAGTCATATTACCGTGTTAATGTTGCATATTACAAATAATGGATTATGTCCGTAAAATCATCAACTTCGAAGCCCTTGAAGAAATGTTAATCTCAGTCCCATATATCTCTTTAAGTTGAAAAATATAGGATGTTTATTGCTTCAGTCAACGTAACTGGCGATTAAGTAATGATTTCAGGCATGAATTTACCCTTCATTATTTGCTCTTTTCATTTTTCCTGTTCGATTTTGTAACTTTTAGTGTATTCAGCCAGGGAATCAATATTTAAAAATGACTCTGCATAAAACGGTCCCATGTCTCACTCGTTCTTATCAGGTAAGTTGACTCATATTGTAAGTGTTCAAAGGATGCCATACATGAGCTTAATAAGTCTATTAAACTTGTAACCTATTCAACGCCGCCGAATCCAAGGCTTTTGAGAGAACAAAGAAATGGATTGACTTCTGTTTATTGCTCCGCTGTTGGAATCGACGTATGTTCGAGAATTCATTAAGTTATTTGTACTACAGGATCATCAACTACGTGACTTACATATCGTGCATGTTACAGGGTCTAAAGGCAAAGGTTCAGTTTGTTCAATGATTGAAAATGTTTTGCGAAAATCCGGATTCCGTACTGGTTTTTTAAGGTTAGTAAGTGTATACATTCACGTTTTGTGTTTTTGAACTTATTATCATGAATATATGAACCGTTGAGTAGTAACCAGTATATTTAACTGTTGAATCTTTAATAAACGAAGAAGCTAGTTTTTTTGACGTTTTCAGAAGTGTTGGATCCAATTAAGTTTGTTTAGAAACGCTGTGCTCATCCTTTTAAACTTCGCCTCAACCATTACTCGTGTCCAAGTCTGAATAGACTTGAAAATAAGTGCCTAATAAGTTTTTAAATGTTTACTTTATATTGGAACGTTTCATATGTATGCAAGAAATAGTTAATGAAGCAGTTCAAGAAAATTTAAAAAGGGAAAATAAGAATCACTGTTACAGAGATTTAGAAAGTAACACAACACTTTTGCCCTTATCACCTTGTTAATCGAGAATACTGAAACCCAGTCAAATTAGAAGTCAGGAATGAAGAAGATCGTAGGTATATTTGGACGGTGGTCGGGATATCGAGCTTGTTGGTTAATGTAAGAAGATGTATAGCAGGGCGCGTGTGTGACCGTGCGCTTTCGCTTAGATTTATCGACTAAAACTAAGGAGGTCAGCATTGATATTGCAGACTTACAGAGATATTTATTTTGGGGATTTATTTACCGCCACACGAATTTTTGGGATATCTTCCAGTGAATTCGATGTCAATATAAGGTAAAATCCATCAAATTGTCGAGATTTTCCCCGGCTTGGCGTAAATAGAGTAATTTCTTCTCAAAATTTCTCCCATTCAGTGGAAATGTCTCGAAATGAGCACTTTCACTTTTTCTCCAAATGTCTACTTTCCTCCGAAGTTAACCCTGAATCATTTCCGTTTCAATAATACGAACACGTGAATCAATCATTATTTCGTGAACCCAACGGAATAGTATACTATATACTTAGAGGTTCTCCTTTAATTCCTCAGGTCAACCAAACTATCTGTGTACTTGACATGAATCAAAATAGTGATTTTTAGAAAACAATTTATTTTTTCGGTTAGAGTTATGTAGACCAGTGTTTTTACACATTGATATCATCAATCGATCATTGTTAGACTACCATTGGAAACCTGGAAGCACTGGACGGGCGTTTCGTCCTGGTATGGGACTCATCACCAGTGCGCATCCACGACTCCTTCTACTCGCAGGACTCGGACCCAGAGGTTAAATGTTCATGTGTAAGGATGAAAGTCCTGGGTTCGAACATTCCACCCGACTATAATCAGCTTGCACTTCTACGACATCGAAGTCGATAGAATCGTACAAGTAACGTGGTCGTCGTTTAATTACTTCTTTGGAAAAAAAATTGGGATCAGTAACTCACTGTCTGGGCTTTTCTTTTTGCAGTTGCAAAGTATCTTTATTCAGCGAGCTACCGTATCTAACTAGACTGGTCAACGAGTTCACCGGGTCAGACCCACAACTTACAGGATGCGTTTGTAACCAACCGAAGTAGTACAGTATTGTACATTTCATAACGAACCAACTCTCATTCAACTTCATGTAGTCTCCTAACGCAAATTTGACTGAGCTCATAATGATAAACTACTTGGCGGCTACGACGAAAACTTGTTTACCAACAAGTACATTGTTTTAAAAAAATGCATCAGTACATTATTGAATAATTTTCAATGACAGAAACTGTTATTACAAAAATGTATGTTGTAGGAGCACTACGATTCCATGGCTAACGATGTTTACGGTAGTACACTTACATAATACATCACTAATGATCATCTATATATGCTGATGGTTAACTACTGAGTTCATGAATGTTTCTATGTCACTGGAAAGGAATGGTTCTATAAAAATCTGTGGACGGAGTTTATTTTACCGTTTTCGCCAATTTCTATAATTATTCCAGGTTCACCCTTGATGACGACTACATTATCGGGCTTAAATGACGTAGACCTGATATCCCTACAAGCAATAATATCCCTTTACATCTTATTAACTAGTTTTTGTAATACCAACCAAATTACTGTCTTGCAATCAAAGCTGAATAGTTTAATCGGCTAAAGCATATCCACAATGTTCATTTATTTCAATCTGTCTCATCTAAGGCTATAAAAGAAATGCTGAGTATATATCTAAAGCACCATGCAGATTGACTTCACTGGCAATATCCTCCGGTGAGTGAATCTTGTAAAGTAGGCGCTCTACAGTGAAGTAGCTAGTTGTCACTTTAGATAAAGCATTGGAGATAAGGCATTTTACAGTATAACCGGTCCTAAATACTGAAACGATAGTCGGTATTCTGTTGCTATCCAGGCTGAGACATCATCTAAAGTACGCCATTTTTGCTGCAAGTTAGGAAAAGTGTTTCCGACACAATTCAAAAGTAATTTTCTGGTATTCGTTATGATATATTATATATATATATATATATATATATATATATATATATATATATATATATATATATATATATATATATATATATATATATACAATGCTTCAACCTGTGTTTTTTCTGACAGCTCTCCTCATCTTGTAAATATTGAGGAACGAATACGTATTAATGGACGACCAATATCTTCTGATCGGTTTGCTAGTGTATTTTGGAATGTTCATGATACACTTCTTGAGTTTACAGTGAGTTATATGTTGTTTGTGAATGCCTGATTAGCTATTAGTACTTCTGACTAGTCTACCGTCAATTATCAATTGTAACTGATAAGGAAAATTCGTTGCAAATAATATCAGTCGCAGGTACACTAAAATTTTCAGATTGCTTATGTAATAAAACCAGTGACCTGCAGAGCGTTAATCATAGGCTAAAGTCAAGCGAATCCTGATTAGACAAATTCTCAGCAAGTTCTAGTGGACATAATCAGAAAACAGTGGAAGATTTTTACATAAAGCGTACATTATAAACCCTAACGTTTGTGTATTATTAGCTTTTGCTTTCCAGATTTTAGAGTATATTTTCATTTATCTCTAATTCTTATTCTGATTTGAGACTACTCGAGTGAAGTATTGTGTCCAGAGGATTCTGGGTAGTGAAATTTCAACGTTAGTTGATCTGGCTTGAAATACGTAACAGTACCACAGATTATTTCATAATTTATATTATTACTCTAGATTTTGATTAGGATTGGTTACCGATGGTTATTGTGTGTTCAGTGTAAGCAAGCTACGTGTACAAGCTAACAATAATCCCGACTTTGTTTAATCATATATAGCACGGTGGTAGAGGGATGCGAACCGAATCAGATTCTCATTTCATGAGGTCATTAACAGTGGAATTGAATAATAGCATTGCTACGTACACACTATCTGATTCAAGTCTGTGTGAGACTGTCTTAACAATTGGTGAGAAAGGCTCAGTTACAGAACTCAGTATCTGCTGCCATAAAAAAGATATACTCATTCTTTTTTTTCCTCTTTCCGTACGTGATCGACCTTAAACGTCGTTATGACTCAGTCGAGTCACATTGGTTGGATTGTTTGTTTATTTAGGTCTTACCACATCATACAGGTTGGTCTGAAGATGAAGTCGTATTATTGACTACAGATGGATATGGTATTATTAACGCTCTAAAAAGAGCACACTTCACCTTGCACCACAGATTTCTTTCATCAGCAATGAGGTCTGAAAGGCATGGAGTGATCATCTTTAAAACTATTCACAAAATGATTGCATATAACCAATGTCAGTCAGTTTTTCTTAGTGATCTTAGACTAGGCCTTCAAGTTGTAAAGACCCATTAAAAATCCAGTTTCTTTTTCGGGTAGTTCGACTAGTTTAAGAACTGGATGTGGATGTAAAAACAAAATATTCACCCCTCATCAGGTTCTGGAATATAGATGATGTACGTTCCATCGTTCGAACATAGTTGTATTCTTTGACTTTAAAGCAGCATTCAAGTGCGTTAACCAAGATAATATTTAAGTGACTTTTTTTCATTGAAAGAAATATTAAACTAATCAATGTGATTTGAGTCAACAATCACAATGAAATAAATTACGTCATCATTGCATAATCAGTATGATACCTATCAGTATTCTTTAGAATTTGCTCGGATATGTCAATATGCACTGTTTTCAGTGTTCTTCTAATGTATGTGCTTTAGTATGTACATGTAAATCGTTAAATAAGACTTAAGGTACTGAGAAAAGAAGGACTTGTTCACTTAAAATAATTTGCTAATTTGTTTATTCTTTTTCACTAAGTAACTACTTTCAATGGTAAAAACATCTTACAACGATATCTTGGTATTCGTAGGTAGAAAATAAAATTTAATATGAGTTATTTCTCTGCTTGAAAACCATGGATTCAATTGAACGTAACCACTAAGTACATGTTAATATGCTAGGCTTTAAATCACACTATTTGAGTTTATCAGTATAGTACTTGATAGGTTGAACAAGAGTACATGTATGATCTGCTGCACATTTGTCGTCTGTTAACTAATAAATGATAGATTTAAGCTGCATTTCAATCACCTTGTTTGTAACAGTCGGACAATATCATTAATGCTCATTCAAACAGTATAAGTTTAAGATGATTACATGAATTGATACTTAACAAATGAGTAGAATTATTCACTTAAATTATTCTCATTTTTTCTTCGTATTTATGTAGAAAACTTCAATTAGTGTACCTATGCCATCGTTTCTTCATTACATTTTTGTAATGGCTTGTAAAGCGTTTATTGACGAGAAAGTAAGTTTACCTTTTTTGTTTAGTCTACTTTATAAATAAATGTACGAAAGTAACTGTGTCTCAAAGCTATGATCTACACATTTCTGATTTGGTTAAAAAGTAATAATGAATTTGAGGACGAATCTATGCGACTAGATAAACTGAACCACTCATGCACAACTACTATAACCGCATGCAAATAAGAAAGTTAATCAATTTTTTTCGAGTTAAGTATCAAAGAATGACCACTGAAAGTTGAACAGTCTGCAGTGTATGCAGCATGACACGTTATCCCAAAGGATAACGTATTATATTCCAACTCTTCTACGCACCTTGAAATCCCGATGCAGTATGATTCAAAAAACCCTTAGATAACTTTCTAGCCTAACTTGCTTACGCCTGTTACCCATAATGGAGCATAGGAGGCCGGCCAGCTCTGTCCCTGGCCTTCCTTTCCGTGTGTCCTACCAACCTCCGGCGCTTTTTCCTAATTTGTTCTTCAGCTGAAATCTGGTCTGTTCTCTATCACAGTAGGTTGTTGCTGACGGTGTTTGGCCAACGGATCTGGATTATCTTGCCTATATAACTGTTAATAAATACGCGTATCTTGTAGGTGATGGCCTTCGTAGCTCTGCAAGTTTCCACTCTATGCAATAAAACTACCTTAAAGTTTGTGTGGAAACTTCTGACTCTAATATCGTTGGTTGATAGCTGCTTTGAGTTGCAGATGTTCTTCAATCGTAGAAATGCTGTCTTTGCTTTGCCAATCTGTGTCTTCCTATTAACATCAAATCGTCCTTGTTTACAAAAAATTCTGCACAGGTATGTGAAAGTTTTCACATCTAATGCTTCTCCATCAAGTGCTACTTAGTTGGTGCACGTTGCATTGTATCAGAGAATGTTCCTTTATCCCCTGTGTATGTTGAGACCTACTGCTGCGGAGGCTGCTGCCCCATTAGCTGTCTTCTGCCTTTGTTTTTGTATGTGGCATAGAAGACCCGGGTCACCTGTGAAGTCCGAATCATCTAGATGTACCCAACCTATCCACTGTGTTCCGTACTTCCCCTGAGATGTTGGCATCTTCATAATCCAGTCAAGCACCAGAAGATAGAGAAATGGTGAATGAGTAGCCTTGTCTGACACTGGTCTTCACTTCGAATGCATCTGTGAGCTGTCCTCCATGCACGACTTTACAGTGTAGTGCATAGTAAGATTTCCGTATGACGTTAACAACTTCTCGTACATACCATAGTGTCGAACAAAGTTCCACAATATTCTCCTATCCACTCTGTCAAGTGTTCCTCATAGTTGATTGAGTTGATTGATCGTGATTTGCTACATTCAGATGATTGCTCCACAATGATCCATAATGTCGCGTTCTGGTCGGTACATGATCGGTCTTTACGAGATCCAGCCTACTTAAGAGAAAATTGATCTCTGTGTAGTTCTCACACTTGCTACGATTTTCTTTCTTCTGTATCTTGCCGAGGAGATGGTGTTCTTTTTGGTCCGGAACTTCATGACATGCTGAAGTTGTACCTTCCTTAATCCCCTTCTGGTTATTCTCCATGATAGTTCCCAACCAACCAGAAGTGGCTAAATATGGTCACTCGACGACAGTCAGAAGTGTTCTAAAAAACGAATATATATCATTGACCGGGAAACGAATTCATTTTTCAAAAGCGAGAGAGATGCATATATATGAATGAATAGTTATACATATACATTATTCGGTGGTTAAATAGACTTTCTCTTCCACTTTTGCCTTGTTGATCAAGTAGTCAATTTGGTGTTGGTGGTGGTGGGGTCGTTGGTACGTATCACGTTCGGATATTGGACACTACCCATCATATCACGTTGCTGAATTTTTTGTGCTCACAGCTTAACTCCTAATGTTTACTTCTAGGTTGATGTCGGGATATTTGAAGTTGGTATCGGAGGACGCTACGATCATACAAATATTTTCAAGTGAGTTAACTTTTTGTGTCCAGTCAACTGTTTTTTGAATTCAATTCCATTTTACTTTCATTTTAATGTTTATTTTCACTGCAATCTTGTTCCATTTGGTTGTAGACCCTTGTCAATGGGATAGATGAGTTACTTAATTCCTAAGTTCCTGTTATCCTTTTTTACAGTACCAGTTACTTTGAAGTTATTATTATTCAAACTCATAACTATTGGTAAATATCGGTATCTGAATGTTTTACACCACGCGAATCACTGAATTTATGTGCGGGCTAGGGTACTGTCCGAGTACCCGAACCGAAATCTTCGAGATCTAATTTTGCTGTGCACAAAAAGTATAAAATTCTATTTCCAAGTTAAAGCATATATGCAAATCGATGGAGTGGCTATGGGAAGCCCTCTCGGACCTGTTTTAGCAAACATATTCATGGGAATGATAGAAAGGCAAGTGAGTCACTTCATCAATGGTATTACACTTTACAAACGATATGTCGATGATATTCTTGTCATATTCTACAGATATTAATGAAGTCAATGATTGATTTAATGCGATTCACCCGAATCTGAAAGTCACTTACGAGGAAGAAAAGAATAATGAACTAGCTTTCCTCGATATCCTGCTCCATCGCCGTCCAGACGGATCAATCAGACGAAAAATACACCGCAAACCCACCTGGTCGGGACAGTACCTCCACTTCAATAGTTTCTGCCCCATACAATATAAACGTTCTGTTGTCAAAACTTTATTCGCTCGAGCAAGTAGAATCTGCACTGCTGATACATTGGACGACGAATTCAGGCTTATTACTTAGACACTTAAATTAAACGGATATCCCGAAACGTTTATTGGTCATCAGAACAGAACCACGACGAAACGGATAGCAACTGATGTGCCCAAGAACCCGGTGTACCTACAGTTACCTTTCAAGGGTGATCATTGCATGAAAATTACAACCAAACAGACTGCAGCTGCAATAAAAAAGACCTTCAATGCAGCTAATCTGAGGCTTATCACAACAACTCAATCGATCTCAGTTACCCCAATCAAGCCTCCAAGACCGATTCAGTCCAAATCCCACGGTATTTACCAATACACATGTAACTGCGGAGAAAGTTACTTGGGTAGGACAGATCGCCGATTGGAGGACAGGATAGGGGAACGCATTCCAAGATGGTTAATCAAATCCATGATTCGCCCACCTAGCCCATCATCTCAAGATCGATCAAGAAACCCAGCCTCGTCCATTGAAAAACATCTGATGATGAGTGGTCATCAAATTGACCCAAAATCAGCCTTTAGAGTTGTGACATGTCATCAAAACCCACACACACTCAAACTACTCGAAGCTATCTTGATTGGTCGGAAAAGTCCAACTTTATGTGTTCAAAAACAACTGTATGTTGACCTTTGTTTACCATGGTTCTTCTAGTGAGTGAATGTCATGCTAAATAAGAAATTTTGACCTTATCTTCAAAACTGCTGTATTTACACGAATAACATGTTGCTTGTAGTATGTGACTGACGAGAAAGCACGAAATGGTACTATTTTACAAAATATGTCTTCTCATTTCTCTGTTCAAATCTTTAATTTATCCTAATATCTTGTCATCTTCGGTGGCTTATTTGATGGCTTGAAAATAATTGGTAGTCTATCAACCGCTTCCACTGCTTCGATATTCTCTCTGTCCTGTCTGCCATCTTTGTCCATTATAAGTCCGAGATAATGTACCTTTATTCATCAGCTACCGGACTTTGTAAATAAGCTTCCGATAAGTCTAACTTTACGAAAATCTTACATCTATTTATGTTGACAAAAAGATCTTTAAGCAAGGGTAAAGCATGATGATGAACCTCTGGAACTTTGTTTAGGCGAGTTGAACAATCGGCACATAGGTGGACACTGCTGTTGGATTTGTTGAATATCACTATTGGAAGCTGCTTAATCCTAAAAACTTGCTGGTTCAATTACTCCAGTTTTTCGAAGGCCTTCTAATTCTTGTCCGACGATTAGGGGGCTGCGTATGTCACAGGTATTATCGTTCTAGCATTGAAGGATGAGGGTAGCTCCCGATTTGGTGCTTTCTCCCAGACCATCACAGAACACTATTTTACGTCGTCTTAATAATACGTCGACCAAGTTTTTCTCATCCAACCAGCATGGAGATGAGGAATTACAGCTGTCATTCCGATAATTTCCTGTATTGGAAACTTGTAGCTCTTTTCTATCGACTGTGTTGATGTTCTGGAATCGGTTACTGTTCCCTATCATTCATATGTCATGTTTCAAATTCGCTAGTCTTTGGGATTTCCTAGTCACCTTTTGTAAAGTAATGTTGGGGTAGTGTTCAAGTTTGCTTCGATTGTGTGTTGGGATATCCCAGAGATTTCTATCTCCCTTATGTGGGTCTTCCGTATCTACTGACCCGGTCAGAGCATCAGACATTCGCTTTTAGTCTACCCGATTTCGTAAAAAACACCAACGCCTCGAGAAAGTAGTGAGTAAAACTTTGTTGTCAGTGTCAATACACACTGGACTATATGAGAGTACTTTGATCGGAAGGGCGACCTCTCCCCAATCTCACCGTAGCATCTTAGGATATTAATGAATATTGAAATTTTTTTTACCTATCTCACCAACTATTCTTTATTGTGTAAATATCAGGAGAACGAACTTTTCTGCTGTAATTGAGTAAACTATTGAATACTACCTTGAGATTGTGGTTGAGCCTGCATATCTTAATGACTCATTTGAGTTACATTGGATGGACCACATTACAAACGTCAGTTGGGGAATGTTACCACTGAAACACAACCCCTTAAGGTCAGAGTGAAGTCGTACTTCTGACTGTCTATGTGTGTGATGATAGTATGGCTCTAAAAATAACACACCACCTCGCCACACAGACTTCTACCATCGGCGATAAAGTCTGATAAGTTCAGAGTTATCATCTATAAAACTATTCCAAAATTATTGCTTATGGCTGATGTCGGTCAGTTTTCCCTTGTTATTTTAGATCATTCTTCCAAGTTATAAAGGCCACTACAAATCCAGTTTCATTTTCGGGTACTTTGATAAAAAAATGTCCTTCGATTGTGTAGGCGACCGGAAAGTGATAGCCCTCTTAATACCTCTAACAGCACATGAGATTGCCTTACTGATAATCGACTCTCTTTGGAACTTCTCAATATTTCTTTTATTCCCGCATGTTTCTAATACTAGTTAGTAACGCTCACTGAAAGCTACCCTGAAACTTCTCTCTAAACTACATGTTAAATCATTATGTCGAATCGGATAACAGGCATGACCACTATGAACTCAGTACCTTGTATCATCAATGTATGGTGTGTCTGAGGCATTAACACGGTATCTCAGTGTAGTCACTCAACCTAAGCTTGATAGTATTTGGAGCCAATCCGAACTGTCCTTCATGTTTCTGGAAAACCTAGAAAGAGCAGGCACAATAAAAACTCGGGAAGATATAGAAAAATCCTGTGGCCTCCTTATCGTTTCTCCATATTCTCTACATTTTTTAGTGAGACCATTTCAGAAAAACATAAAACTGTTATCCATTTTCAATCTAGGAAGTTAAACTGATGAGTAGAATACTTTAAGGAACAATTCAGTCGGGGTTCAGTTACCTACCATAACCAGATGATCTGTATGCGAAATTGACACAAATTCACCAATTCTACGAGAGGTTCATAAGGCTATTGTTGATCTCATGAGAAAAGTAGCAGCAGATCTATATAGATTGGCTCTGAAGCTCTTTTAGTATGGTTATTCAATTTTAATTCCTCATTTGATTGAGATATCAGCTAGATTCTAGTGATTAGGCGTAATCTCATATCACTAGTCTCAATCGTTGATCAACCTAGTTTATTGAGGAGGAGAAGAAAGATTTTACGAGAATAACAATATAATCCGTATTACTTTGATAATATCTAAAATATTAACTTTAATAATCATCCAATGCTTAAATAAGGCTCATGAAGAATAAATCCAGGCCTAGAGATAGCTACTGGATTTTGGAAACTCCTCCTGAATTGATTGCCGCTCGAAAACTCAACCTAGTATTCACAGAGACCTACAAAGAGTGAAGACAACTCAGGCGTAGACTAGCAGAAAACTAACCCACTTGTTATGAGCATTATTAGTGATTAGTAAAATCTAAATCGATATTGATGGCAGATCAATAGACGAAGTATTGAAACTTTATCAGTTGAGGTGATTGGGACATGTGTTACGAATACCCGACCTTCGACTGCCTCGACGAGCTTTGTTTTATGGTATAGGAGTAGGTTAGAAGAAAGTTAGCGGCGGCCAGATCAGAACATGGCAGAAATCCATAAAGTCACTGACAACTGGACTGAGTCATGTTAGTAGATGTGGGCTACCTGGTTGGGGTTCGCGAGACTATAGTAACCAATGGCTAGAGACTTTGAATGACTTGGCTCAAAATCGCTTGCAATGGCGCAGGTGCATCCACTCGTTGTATTCTCTCAAATCCTAATCTTCTGGATTCGTCAACACCTCTACTTTTGTCTTTCTAAACTTATCTCATTGAATTATACTTCTTGAACAATATCTTCGAATCCTAATCTTCTCTATTACCAGTAGTACTGCTACTATCTCTACCACTATGGGTTTTGAATTGACAATTGCGTCTTTGTGCTGATGTGTTATGACAACCTGAACTGATGTACTTACGTACGAAGTTCTGCGTTCCATTTGACTGACTGACTGTTCATGAAATCTACCGGTCTTGTGGATGAATTATGCATTTGGAAAAAAAAATTAAGAAAACAATCACTATCAAATATCGTCAATATTTTCATTCATATTAAAATTTAGTTTTTTACAAAACCTCTCTGTATAAGAAAAGTCAAGATTTCTCTTGCACAAACTAAACCCTTCAATTTTGTGAAGATATTTTTCAAACCTAACTTCATATATGATTGATTTTGTTTGTTCATTTATTCAATTCGTGTTTGATTCACTCATATTTGAATTTTTAGAAATCCTTACGTAACTGTTATCACAAGCTTGGCATTGGAACATACAAATATTCTGGGCAATACTTTGGCTGAAATAGCTTGGGATAAAGCTGGAATTTTTAAGGTATTCTCGATTTCATTGTTATTCCATATTTTTTTTATATACTTATATAGAGACTTTTTAAATATGGAATTTCGAATTTATGTAAAACGATAGACTGATGTTTTTTTAAATTGGTTACGATAATGACGTGACCTGCGTCTGTGTACACTGCTCAGTTCAACAGTTTGTGATTGTTGTGACTGAAACCACGTTTCGATCTATCCGCCTCTTTATCCCAGCTACGTACTATTATTATTATGTTAATGGAAATCGAAAAAAAAGGAAAAAAACACAGTAATCAGATGAGTATTTCGAAACTGAAAGAAACCAATCGTTACAATTCGGATGCGAATTTCTTGATCACACTTTACATACAACCTATTGAATAACTAACATTTCCATTATATGAATGGTCCATTTTTATTTCATACAATAACAAGCTAAGTTATCAGGTGTACAGTTGACTGACTGTATATCTCATCCAATAACTATCAACTTGACTCTTTAAACGAATCAATGAACTGTAATAAAAATACTCAAGACTTAGAGCACAATAAAGAATCATTGGGATCATTGGGATCGAATTCAAGTCATTTATGGATATGATGGTGAGGTAAAAAGGATTTCCATTTACCACAATATAATACTATTATACGATTATATGACCTATGCCCCGAGCTATTTTCTCAATAAACTGGATGCTCGATCGATGGGTTCTACGTGAACGGCGATCATGTTATTTTAGAAACAAGATTCATGTTGAATTACACAAAATCAGATTATTGATCCGATAGGGAGATGTATCCATTACAAACACAAGCAGTCCACTCACACATTGAGTCCAGATTAGAAATCTATAATCGAAAAGCATTCACATATTAAATAGTTAGTAAGTTCAGTTCACCTCTGTCTTTACACAACAACCAATCACATCTCTCCTCCCCACAGTAGCCACACATTACATTGATGTTTTGTAGGCCTTGTGGATGATCCCATTCCATATGACCATTGAGTTTCAATTTATAATTCAAGTGGTGTAATAAAAAAACGAGATTTATGCGAACAAGTCGATAATATTGACCAAATACATTTCAAACAATCAGATCATACATTCACTTGTTGAGTTATTTATTTGAGTTTTATTCAATTAGAGTTTGTACACGGTGAAATTATCAATCAATCATTGTTAGACCACCATTAGAAACCTTGAAGCGCTAGACGGTCGTTTCATCTTAGTATGGGACTACTCATCAGAGTGTTCATTCACGACTCCCGCTACTCGCAGAATTCAAACCCAGAACCTTCATCTTGCGTTCGAACACCTAACCTACGGACCAAAAAACAAACTTTTAATAAGCGAAATTCTAGGAAGAGCTTCTGACATCATCCTAATCAGTTAAGATGTTCAACTTTCAGCTATCAAATCACTCTTCCGAATGCCGCTTCACCTAATTTGTTGTAAGCAACTGGGTAATAATATCACCAGATCTTACATTAAAAGTCTAGTTCGAAGTATAGGAACCTGCAGCTTAACTAATCCATCAAAAGTGTGACATGCAACACTCTCCTATGACATTAAACTTCAGTGTTTATAGCTGATTAGAAAACAATTCAACTGCAAGATTATGAGAAAATCATTTCAGTGCCATATTTTGATCTCGATAATGTTAGTTAAACGGATATGAATAGTGATTTTCAGAACTGCTTTTTTCATAACCAGCTTGCCAGAGGTTTCTTTGACAGGATGGTTGTAAGACTCGACCTTAGACCAATAGATAGCTAATTTCAAACCCTCTTCGTCTAACTTGGTTTAAACAGCTTGGTAGACATTCACCACGCCTCGCTTCTTAAGTGTAGCTTCAAGTTATGCAAGTAAACCTACGTTCGGTAATTAAGTCATACTATTCATTTGTTAAGTTGAATTTCAATGTTGAAAACGATGATTGTATATAGTATGTTTCATACATCTGCTACTTGAATGCTTGATATTAACATTCTAGCAAAATCTGTAATTATCCAACAGGATTATGACACAGTACACCTTTTTTTCTGAACTTCTGAAAACTTCCGAAGAATTTTCGGGTACTACCAACAGTAATTTAGTTCTTGACTTTTTTTCACTTTAAAATGTCCACTACCTATAAAATACAAGTCAAGTTCTAGACGAATTTTATTTTTTTTCCTAATATCCATCTTTAAAAAGACTGGTTCCATAGCAGTAGTCAGTCATGGACAACCAGATGAAGCTATGCAAAAGATTATTGAAGAAGCGGAATCCGTTCGAGTAAGTGGTACATGTTATGAATTTTATTTTATCATTTAACTATGTATTATGTTAACTAATTTGTGATGTTAGAACACCCGTTGGAGAAACCTGGTTTCACTGAACGACCGTTTTGCCCTGGTATAGGATTCATTAGCAGTGCGCGTCCACGACCGCCGCTCACGGAAATCGAACCCAGGGCCTTCACTCTCGCTCGTGATCATTTATTCTCCAGACTACTAAGCCGACATCCAACGTCTAACTTTGATCGATCCACGGTCTTGCGCACCTTCATCCACTGTCTTCAGCGGTTACTGCTTCACATTAGACAGGGTCATGACTTCTCAGTAGAACTTGGGGAAACTTACTTACCGAACTATTCACGGGTGGAGATTGTTGAGTTTCATCAAAATCATGAATCGGTCAATATTAAATCACCATTGGAGGTTAAGCGTCCAAGCGCTGAATCAAAGGTCCTGGTTTCGAGTGAGGGTTGTGAACGCGACCTACTGATTATTGTTTTTACCCACTGGAATTATGAATCAATCATAGTTAAACCCCCATTAGAAACCTGGAAGCATTGGATGGCCATATCGTCCTGGTATAGGACTTGAATCTTGTGAGTAGCATGAGTGTTGGATGCACCCTACCGATGATTCCCATACGAGGATGAAACGGCCATCCATGGTTTTCAGTTTCCTAATGATGGTTTAACACTGATCGATTCATGATTTCAATCAAACTCAACACCCTCCACAACCCTTTAATGATAATTTAAAATAAATAGGAATGAATTTTTTTTCTGTTCATCATTAACTATCATCAAATGGAGATTTATTCAATTATTATTCCATGACAAACTCATCGTAATTACAAATTCACTTTCAAATGATTGTTACTCACATTGTTAATAATTACACTTATTTTGAATGTTCTGCAACGTGTGTATATTCTTGAGATTGTTCCCTGTGCACTTTCAGTCAGTCAGTCAGATGCAAGGTAGAACTTCGTACGTAAGTACATCAGTTCATGTTGCTATATCACATTAGCACAGAGATGTAATTGTCAATTCAAATCCAATAGTAATAGAGGTAGTAAATGTACTAGAAGTAATCGCAGAGGTTATGATTAGGAGATATTATTAAATAAGTATGATTCAGTGAGATAAGTTTAGAAAGTCAAAACTAGAGGTGTTGAAGAATCCAGAAGATTAGGGTTTGAGAAAACACAAAGAATAAATGCACCGGCGCCATTGCGAACGATTTTGAGCCATGTCATTCAAGGTCTCTAACCATCGATTATTATCATCTCGCGGACCCCAACCAGGTAGTCGACAACTACCGACATGGCTCAGTCCACTTGTCAATGACTTCATGGATCGCTGCCATGTTTTGGTTTGGCCGCCCCTAGCTTTCTTCCAACCTATTCCTACACTACAAAACAAGGCTCGACGAGGCAGTCGATGGTTGCGCATACGCAACACATGTCCTCCCTGTGCACTTTAGTTATTCAATGTAATCGAATAATAAAACATTAATTCATTATTCAAAATGAAGCATAAAAATTGATAGCCGAATCAATGACTAAATAATTCTCAAAGCAATTAATGTTTTTTATCATTTATTGTTGTTCGCCAAAAAATATCAACACAATCTACTCAAAGTGCAAATGCATTGCCATAAAAAACATAAACATTGACGATGGCAACAACAGAAAATTACAAACTCTCTTTACTCATAAAATTAGGCAAAGAGTTCAACTTTCTAATCAATAGTTCACTTGTTTGTATTTGGAAATCTGAATATCTCGTCAATTACCTCTGTTAGAACAATACATGTAAGCGAACAATAATGTTGTTTTCGATTAGATCATCATCAGGGCTTTATTCTCTAATATACATGAATATTTATTTGAGAATGTTAAATCAATCAAGGCCATTTTTTCAGTCAATAATCACAATGAAATGAAATAGATTACGTCATTACACGTAAGAGGTAGAAGTACAAGTTGATGGTAAGAAGATAGGTATACTAATACGATAACATAAGTTTTCACATTTTTGAAACCATGAATCAATAGTAGGTCAAACGCGAATGAATAGACTTAAAATAATCATTGCAAAACCGTAAACCATCACGTAATACGAAAAGTGTACATAATTAGATAGTGAAGAACATAAACGGAAAGAGGTAGAGAATTACAAACAAATACAGGATGTGAAAATAATGTTAATAATAACAAAATAAAATTTAAATCAAGAAATTTTAACATCAGTCATGTCATATCCGGCCACGGAAGAGATTGAGATGTCACGAATTTCTTCTTAACACATAAATTGAGGTTGAATATATGAATTGCTATGGCTTCTGATATGTGAAGAAGACGGGATCGAACTCCGTTGGGAAATAATGGAGGTATACGATAGATCACCTGAAAAGATCTAGCCTTGTCTACAATCTAACCACTGTCAACCAGGTGTGCTAAGATAGAACTGCGTATTGTTTTTAACTGCCCCTTCATAAACCATGCTGGGAGATGTTCACTCATTCGTTCGTTAAGTTGCCTAGTAGTACACCCGATATTAGCTAACCCCACAGAAGCAGCTGAATTCGTAAGTGCACATATATCTTCTCATTGTCTTCTATTTTGTAATTTTCTTTTCTTTTCCATCATTTCCAGTGTCCGTTGTATGTTGCACCTCCATTGGATTCACTATCGACTACAGAGAATATGATTGAACCAGTTAAAAAAATTTTTGAAAAAATAACCACCTTACCTAGTAGTCAATTATTAAATTTAGCTTTAAGTTTAACTGTAGTCAATCATTGGTTGGCTAAATTACATGGAAAAACTAACAACGATAATATTGAAAATATTGGTTAGTTATTAATGTTCTTTTAAATTTTATACGTTTTGATAGAACAGTTGAGAAGACGTAATTGATCTGAAAAATGTTGTGATGTATATTGCGTTATACATTTCGAACAATCTGGTCACACATATATACGCTTGTCAAGTCATTTTAAATGAAGATTAATAAAAGGTCAATTAAATAAAAGTTCAAATAGACATAATGTGATAATTGTAAATAAAGGAGAGAGAAAATTGCCGCAATATGAAAAGAATAAGAAACGGTAGGAAAATTATCACATTACCCTAGGCTTAAAGATTACCAGGGTAAATTCAAGGTTATGACTGACATTTTCGAATAGCCAAGGCCTCCATAAACCTTAAAATTCGTCCTTCAACATTACTATACAATTTTTCGAAGGTTATCTTGATGTCAATCTTATGCCCTATCTCAATTATGTGTTTTGCAATCGATGAACATGGTTTTCTATTTCCAACGCTAATCGGCTCATCTGACATTAACTGATTTTGAAGCCACTTGATTGCAAAGTCCGACTACTCCTCCCTATGTATGTGTGTCCACACAAACATGTAATTGATAAATGCAATGGGATGTGATGTAATCATTTGAGCAACGTTTAGGTCTATGTGAAATCGAGAAGTTGCCTCCGAAGAAAACCACATGCTTCGATTTGGACACGCAGACAGTATCTCAGCCCAGACACATAGTCAAAGATTTGTGTGGCGCATACAATTTTAAGTACCTCTTGGTACCAATAAATAGGTGCTTAAATTAAATAAATACTAAACTTTTACTCTGCTGTCACGAAATACCGTCTATAAAACTAGATGTACTGTAAATATTTCATCACAAATATTTTTGGAACCTTGCCCTCATATCATAAGACCACATTTTGTGTAGTGCTAGATGGTAATTGAAAGTTCATTAACAATATCTCTGTCAACTAAAATGGTCAAGACATAACTTACTCTCTAATGATTGTTATAGTAAGTTGAAAGAGAGATAAGGCTAAACATATGAGAACAGAGCATCAGTTCATAGATTTATATTATTTCATCTAGTCACCAAATTACTTTTCAAGCAGTTAATTCTACCATATTAACGTCCTAAACAACACAGCACAACCAGAAAAAAAACTACAAAAATGATTAAATCAACGATCTTTTTCATCGAATAGATTATTTGTGATAGATTTCATATAGTATGTATTGTCTCACGTAGATAAAAAGACATATCAAATACAAATTCCATTAGGCCACATAACAAACACGTGTAACACACTTATCAAGCATAAGTTTAAGCACGCAAATTTGTTTGTAACAATTAATGGTACTACTCAACTATGCTGACTGTAGTAGGATGATTCGGTGATTTAAAACTAAATCATCGCTTTATAACGATAGAAAATAAGCCAGGAAGTGAAGGAACATAGTCTTACTTATTTACGCCTCTTATCCATAATGGAGCATTGGTCTCCAACCAGCATTCTCCAATCAACTTTGTTCTGCATCTTCCTTTCAATCCCTATCCAATTGCTATTCATTCTTTTCATGTCTGCCTCAAATTCCCGGCGCAGTGTATTCCTTCATCTACCTCTATTTCTTTGGTCTTGAGGATTCCAAGTTAAGGCTTGCCTCGTGATTCAGATGAGGGATTTTTGCAATGTGTGTCCTATCCACCTCCAGTGCTTTTCCCAAATTTATTGTTCAGTATCAATCTGGTTTGTTGTTTCGGATGGTATCTGGCCAACGGATCCTCTGTATTTTGCGTAGACAACTGTTAATCAACACCTCTATCTTGTAGATGATAGCTCTCTAAGTTTCCAGTCCATACAATAGAATTTTCTTAATACGTGTACTGAAAATTCTGACTTTAGTATCGTTGGTTGACAGCTCTTTTGAGTTGCAGATGTTCTTCATTTGTAGAAAGTTACCTCTGCTTCACTACTACTGTAATGTTTTCATTCACGGCTTTATTCGCTCCTCCGTCATACAATCTTCATAATCGTCAACAAGTTATGTATGATAAAACTGTTTTATAGCAATCACGCAAAATTATTGAATTTATTCATAATAGAAGTTGTTATTTGAAGTTTTATTGAACTTCATTTGTTAGATCATAGAACTGTGCTTAAATTAGACCTAGATCCAACTGTTGTATCTCCTTCCCCTGCTTTTTTGTTGTGTTTCAGGTTTGCAACCGACATTCGAATGGAAACCGAGTCCAGATTTTTTGCTTAGTAAGTTTTTTTTAAATTGAAAAAATATATCTACCATGATGTAATATTAGTTGACCAGACAAAATCGGAAGGTTCCGTGTTATTTTGGCACTTATTATTAGCATGGCATTTTTGTGATATTCAAGCAATAGATTCTTGTTTATGCAACATTGGTGACTTATTCGTTTCTACAAGAAGTTGGTTGCAGAATAAATAACTCAGTGTTAAAATTCCTAACTCCAACATTTGATTACGCCCATCCGAATCCTGAAACGTATCATTTTGCGTCAAGATTGTGTAATCTACGTCTTGATGATGAGGATTATCTAGTTGCACGGGATCGAAATTTGGAGTTTCGTATAGATTTGACTTTTGACCATTTGACATCAAAGCATAGTACATACGGTATTCAGTCAAATCGACATTTGCCTACATTGCAACACCCACAATCAGTTTATATGTTGAATAACTATTGTCTCTGATTTTATTACTTGTTGTCTAAATCCCTAGGTTAGTGCATGAAGAAGAGTTCAATTCAAAGATTTCTGTTGCAGAATTCCTATTGAATATTTGCATAGTGTGCTTATAGAATACCTATACTTACATTACTATAAGCGTCTGAATGTTGATGATCGTGTGATTAAGTTAATATACTTCAACCGTTTCAGCTGATTCATGTTTGTATTCCACTTATCACCTATCATTGAAATGTATATTACTTTTCTCTTTTTCTCAAAACTTCAATATACATGTTGATATTCACTGAAGCGCTTTACTTATTTGTTTCAAAGATGCTTTAAGTGCTCGTTGGCCTGGTCGATGGCAAATTGTCATTCGAAAAAACATAACTTATTTTCTAGATGGTGCACATACTGTTGAAAGTTTACAAGTAAGTATAACTTGAACAAATTAAAAGAATTGCAATTTGTTAATGTTATAGATTATGTAATTATTACATAATCTATAACGAAAGTCACCAATGGTTAGCGACCTTGAACGACATGGCTCAAAATCGTTTGCAATGGTGCAAGTGCATCCATTCTTTGAGCTCTCTCAAATCCTAATCTTCTGGAATCGTCAGCACCTCTACCTTTGTCTTTCCAACCTTATCTCACTGAATTATACTTCTTGAATACTATCTTCGAACCCTAGTCTTCTCCATTACCATTAATACCTCTACTATGTTTATCACTATGGGATTTGTGATTTGACATATGCGTCTGTGTGCTAATGTGTTATGGCAACCTGAACTGATGTACATACGTACGAAGTTCTACGTTGTAACTGACTGACTGACTGATAGATTATGTAACATCATCATAAAATGTATTGTTTACGTTCTATTAGTTTTGTCTTAAAACTATTGAGATAATTCCATTGTATAGTGAACTTTTGATTGGTGCTTGCGAAAATCTTTTGCTTAGATGAATGATTTTGATGGGATATTATTAATAATTGGGTCACAGTGTGGGAGACGGGGATAGTCAAAATAAGTCAGCAGATAGTGTACGTTAAAGTTCAATGATAACTGATCAAGATCAAGACCGATAGGATAAGCTATCGGTGATGTGTGGAGGAAATGGATTAGCTCACTTTCACCTAAGGCTTGTGCTGATTATGTTGCTCAGGCGAACCATAAGTGATTCATGACAGAACCATTCAACTCAGTCTTTCTTTGTTAGTATCAGTGCATGTGTAAATAATTTTGAAAATGAAGTGAATTAGGAAAACTCTTAATAAAGTCAGAGCGCTAAGGTCTTCTCACAGTCAATATTCACCCTAATTTAAACCCAGAGATATGTTATTGAGAAAAATGTTGTTTTGTGACTTCTGGCCGATGTCACGTGCCCTACTTCTCCGTTTGGTTGGTTACTTACTGCATACTGGCTTAATGTCTCTGACTTTGCCAACTACACACGCCGGATCAGCATTATTATTAACCTTGAGTCAACAGCTAGGTTCTTATTGGCCCATTATTCATATGCCCCCCCCCTGCCTTGGTTCCAGAGGTTTTCAAACAGTACTTTATACCACATTTCAAACAGATGGAGTTTAGATGCAAACTGACCAGGTCGCATCATGCCATAAATACTAATAACAATCTCACATCTGTCAGAGAATCTACTACACTAGACTTTTGTCAGGTAATCCTAATTACAAATTCGTTTTCTTGAATTACTAGTTTCTAATGTTGTCCAGACAAATAATGAAAGCTAGTTCAGTGAACATTAACAGACCATACCACATTTTCAGTTTATCATATTTACGCTTACTGATGATGCTGAAACTATTTTGTTGTAAGAAAAATTAGTAATTGTGAATGAATTCTGAAATGATTGTGAATCAGTCCTCACTGAGGACTCTGAATGAGGTTGCATAACACCGTGGATTGATCGAAGCTAGATATTAACATCCTTAGATGCCGGCTCAATGGTCCAGAGGTTAGGTGTTCGTCCGCAAGACCAAAAGTCCCGAGTTCGAGTAGCCGGGAGTAGTGAATTAATGGTAGGTTAATACATTCTTGTAGATTGTAGATTTAAATTCTCAATTCATAGTCATGAGTTGATCTTATTTGTAATAATAACTGTGATTTATTCTATGTTCCAATGATACCTCATGTTTACCTTATTTTTCCCCAGTTCATTTTTATCATGTATATTTTGTACTGTTTAATACCTTTTCTCTTCTTCTTATGTAACAGTCTGCAATAAAATGGTTTCAGAATGAAAGTTTCACTCAATATAACAACAGGTAAATGTGTTGTACTATTGTTTTTTTATACTGAACACAATTATTTGTTTTATTTACAAAAGTTATTCTTACTCAATTAATTTTACTTTCCTGATCATACCTTTGTCACAATTACAGTAGACCAGAATTTTCACTTATATATGCTAACTTGATTGCAGTTCATCTGTATCAATTAATTCTAATTTCTTGATTAGATAAATTGATAAAACAAAGCAACATGTGTATATAGGGTGGTTATGTTAGGATATTCGTCCAATATCCTAAGAGAATTATTGGTCAATTCCTATTGGTTAATTCCTACTGGTCAATTTTATGGTCGTCCTAGATATCACTGTCACGTGCTCCAATGTTGTTTCTTATTGGTCGTCTTAACTGCCAGTGTCACAGACTTCGATGCTGTTTCCTGTTCGACCAAAATGTATAAATACGCATTATGTGTAACATTTTATGACCAGGACCAGGACCCGGTCCCGGATCCCTAGTCCGGGATCCTGATTCGCTTCTGGACTCGGACCTCGTACTTCCTGGATGCTTGTAGAATACAGGTTCTACTTCATATCAAGTCTTCTTATTTCCACTCAATATGGGGGTTGAGATAATTGGATTTGAGTAGCGTGTCGTGTCGCCGGACCCTCGCTCTCGTTTTCCGACTATGTAAACTCGTAATAGTTCAAGCATACCATAATGACGGGTTACATGCAGGCGTAACAGGTTAGAATTGATTCTCACAGCATATCAGTGCAAAAGTGTACATTGATTTCAGCCTTTTCAGCAAGGACACACACGTTGTGATAACAAATATAAGAGAAAAGACAGGAAAACTAACCATCTTAACCAATATTCTTGAAATAAACTGTCTAGGATATCATAAACTAATTCATTCACTGTGTATCAAGCAACACTGTTTGCTTGTGTCTGTATAATGCTATAGTATTTAACTATCCATATCAAACAAAGTAGGATTGAATTCAAACCTCAGTTTTATTGGTTGAGATCTAAATGTTTTCACCGCTAAACTATCCTTGCATGTCTAATCACATATATCGCTTAGAGGTTGGAAGTATTTACACCTCAACCTTTCAGTTTCAATTTAAAAAAAAAGCCAACTTCTAAGATATAACACGTTGAGCACCAACCAAATCACACTTTGTGGAGAAACTCTGAAAGAAGCGGAAATTTTGACCATATTTCGGCAGCATTATTTGTAAACGAGGGGAATCAGATGCAGATGTGAAGGCATGAATCTGCAAAGCAAAGACTGTATTTTCACAACTGAAACATATATAGAATTCAAATCAACTGTCGATCAACACGGAAGTCTGGATTTTCAATAAAAATAGTCCTATTGTGTGTAGCTAGAACTTGATGGACTCATACAACCATCACTGAAAATGCAAATCTATTTGTCAGACAGCACTAGCAACAACCTATTGTATTGAAGAACAAACCAACTTCCAGCTGAAGAGGAATCTAGAAAAAAAGACACTGGTTATGGATTAGACACTACGAAGCTGTTGGGGACGTTGGATCCCCAGAACGTGCTTGATAAATGCCTTAATTTTGGATTTTATGATTCCGGGCATGGGCCGATCAGTTGACCTTGAGATTTCATTTCCCACCAGGAAAATCCCTATCTGTGATTGGTTTCTGTGTATTTTATTGTGCTATTTTTGTGACCGGCCCAAGGACGTTTCTATGATGTATAAATAAACGAGATTTGTGTGCTTGAATTTTATTTTGCTTGCTGGGTGTTTGTAGAATACACTTTCTACGCTAATATCAAGACTTCTCGTTAGCTATTTGGGGTCAACGGATCAGAGTAGCCTACCTGGACGCTGGCTCATTATCTTGTTCTCGTTTATCGATTAAGGTGAACCCGTACCAGTTTTAAGCATAACTAGTGACGAACCTAACAGAAACTTATCAAACTTCATCACAAGACAAATGAAAAAAGAGACAGACCAATGAACAAATTGCTCCAGAAATTAAAAACAGACATCAAAAGAATGAACAGTACTTGGAAACAACTAAAATAACAAGCCCAGGATAGAGTAGTTTGGAGATTGCTTGACAGTGGTCTATGCTTCATGAGGGATAACTGTGATTGGTTGCGACGTTTAATTTATTGAAACAAATGACTATTTTTGAAACAAGTTGAATCTTTATACAATTACAAGACAAAATATTTTGTTTCTGCCAGTCACTTTTGTTGGTAGATGGAGTAAATTTAGTTTTTTATACTCCATAACATTATTTGTTCTTGTCTGTTTGATAGGTGTCCTATACGAATTGTTATTTTCACTGTAATCGGACCACGAGATCCTAAGCCATTTTTACAATGTTTACAAGTAAGAGTTTCCTATTGTGAATATTATTTTTTCTTCTTCCAGTGATGTTATTGATCGATTGATGTGGTGATTGTGTGTTCATATTTTGTGTTGTTTCAAGGTGATATTCTTTAGGAACTTTTGAAGAGTTATTAAAAATTAGAACGAACTGGAAAATCGTATTGATTCAACTATAAACTTTTTACTGAAGTAAACACCTTTGACTTTAGTCAAACAAGATCCTGTGACTGACATACAGCTATTGAGCAGTAAAATCGGAATTCAACTGTCTACATTCCAACTCAGTAGTATTAAGATTTCACCCTCCTTGGATAAACCGTGTGTTTGATCTTTTGTAGTAGGATTTCGAATGCTTACTTTTGAAAAACTCGGATTCGTGATTATTATGATTGTTACTTACTTACTTACGCCTGTTACCCCCAATCGAGCAAAGGCCGCCCACCAGTTTTCTCCAACCAACTCTGTCCTGGGCTTCCCTCTCCACTTCTGTCCAATGTTTGTTCATTCTCAAATCTTTCTCTATTTCTCTGCGTAATGTGTACTTTGGCCTTCCTCTTTTGCTTCTACCTTGTGGGTTACAAGAAAGGGCTTGTCTTGTGACGCAGTTGGGTGCTTTTCGTAGTGTGTGTCCTATCCACTTCCACCGCTTCTTCCTGATTTCCTTCTCAGCTGAAATCGAGTTTGCTCTCTCCCACATTAGGTTGTTGTTGATGGTGTCTGTCCAACGAATCCGAAGTATTTTGCGTAGACAACTGCTAAAAAGTACTTGTATCTTCTGGGTGACGGCTCTCGTAATTCCCCAAGTTTCCACTCCATACAATAGAATTGTCTTGATATTTGTATTGAAAATCCTGATTTTGATGTTGATTGATATTTGTTTGGAGTTCCAGATATTTTTCAATTGTAGAAATGCAGCCCTTGCTTTGCCGATTTGCGCTCTCACATCTGCATTGGATCCACCTTGGTTGTCGACGATGCTGCCCAGATATGTAAAGGTGTTAATGTCCTCCACGGCATCTCCATCAAGAGTGATTTGGTTGGCCCATGTGGTGTTGTATCGCAGAATCTTACTTCTTCCTTTATGTATGTTGAGACTTGCTGCTGCTGAAACTACTGCCACACTGGTCGTCTTCTCCTGTATTTGTTGTTGCATGTGCTATAGAAGAGGCAGATCTTCTGCGAAGCCCAGATCGTACAGCTGAATCCTAGCTGTGCATTGGATACCGTGCTTTCCTCCCGATGTTGACGTCTTCATAATCCTATCGACCACCAGGAGAAAGAGAAAGGGTGAGAGTAAGCAACCTTGCCTGACACCGGTCTTCACCTCGAACGAGTCTGTTAGCTGTCCTCTGTGCACGATTTTGCAGTTTAATCCATCGTAAGAATTCCGTATGATGTTAACTATCTTCTCAGGCACGCCGTAGTATCGAAGAAGCCTCCATAGTGTTGTTCTGTCCACGCTATCGAATGCTTTCTCGTAGTCTATAAAGTGATTATTCCACAATGATCCGTAATGTTGCACTTTGGTTGGTACACGATCGAGCCTCTTGATCTCGAAGTTGGGCGTCTACGAAGTCCTTCATTCTGTTTAACAAAAGGCTGTTGAAGACTTTGCCTGATATTCAGAGAAGAGTGATGCCTCTGTAGTTCTCACACTTGCTGAGCTCGCCTATTATCATTCAAAATGCCACCATCTGTTTTTTATATCTTTACCTAGTACCCCGTGTCTAATCTCATCAATGCTCTTTCGCTGGTCTTAACTTACGCCAGCCATTCTTCGAAGGCGCCTATGATCAATAACTTAGAAACTACTTCTTGCTTATTCACTCGTACTCTCCCAATATATATATAATTGAAACCCAGTTCGCAGTGTAATAAGAACACGAAGACAAAAATCTTCAAACTATTAAACTAAGTCTAGTCTTATTCTTACTTTCAGCTTCAGTTCTATTTTGAAAACTATAGTTTAATTGTAAAACAGTACACATGTATGTAATCCAATCACTATATATTTAGATTGTTTAGTAATACATTTTGTATGTCAATCATTTTCATTTGTATTTTTTTCAGTCTTCTTCATCTGCGTTCGATTTGATTGTTTTCGCCAATCCTCACGATGGTCAATTCGGTAATTTTGTCTAATCTATATTATTGATGTTATCTATTCATGAAACATGAAGCAACAGTTTTTTTTGTTCAGATACTCATTAACATGATTCCATGTAATATACCTGTAACTAATGTGAAACAATATACAGGTTTAAGCCAATATCGTATAAAAACTGATACGAATCTATGTAGATCTGAGGATTATATGGTTTGCCTAAAAGGATGAAACCCGCGTTCTGGATTCCATTAGCTATCCACTATTCATCTCTGCTTATAAGGCTTGTGACGAAATGGCTATATCAAGACAATCGGCACAAGGTGGGTAGGCGAGATATCCGTTTGCTAACCAAAGGACAAGTCTACTGCGCAACAGTTCGGTCCGTCCTACTTTATGGCTGTGAAACATAATCAGTAAGAGGTGAGGATATTCGTAGGCTATTAGTATTAGATTATAGATGTCTTCGAGGCATTGCTCATGTATCCTGGGACCACCGAGTAAGCAATGCTGTTGTTAGGAAAAGGGTATTAGGTAAGGATGGAAGATCAGAAGATGAATTAATGAAATTTCATCTTTTGGAGTGGTTAGGACATATGTTACGATTACCCAACCACCAACTGCCTCGACGAACGATGCTGTCTTATGTAGGAGCAGGCTAATAAAAGCTAAGATCGGCCAAACCAAAACATGACACAAATCCCTGAAGTCACTGACAACTGGACTGAGTCATGCTGGTAGATGTAGACTACCTGGTCGGGGTCCGCGAGACGATAGTAACCGATGGTTAGAGACCATGAACGACATGGCTCAAAATGGTTTGCAATGGCGTAGGTGCATCCATTATTTGTCTTCTCTCAAATTCTAATCTGTATTCCTCACCACTTTTACCTTTCTCTTTTTAAATTTACTGCACTAGATTATACTTCTTGAATAACATCTTCAAATCCTAACCTTTCCGATTGCTTCTCATACTTCTACTACCTCTACCACTATGCGATATGAATCGACAGTTGCCTCTCTGTGCTAATGTGTTATGTCAACCTGAACTGATGTTCATACGTACGAAGTTCTATGTTCTTGGCTGACTGACTGAGATGTACATACGCCAAATGAGACTGATCGATTTGTAGCCCTATGTATCAATGGGAAAATTGAAATCACCAATAAAAATTAATTGGATTTATTGATGCTTTATTCAATATTACGGTTCATCGTTAGTACGCCATCAATACAAGACTGTATCATTAAATCTGTGCAGGTATTCGTATTAGGGTACGAAGTTTTCTCGTTAGTCTACCTTTTATTTCAGTTAGGTGAATCTCCTTCTATTACAACCCATTTTCTTCACACTAAAAATTTTACATGAAAATCATTGTCTGAGAATTAAATTAGAGTAATTTTTGATTAAACTGAATAGGAAATACGTAACGTATATTCAGGCTCTAATCTGCCCTAGTTTATTTTATCTGTTAACATTGGAGTACTTTGGGAAATGAAGAAGTAGCCAAATGAAGGCATGGTATCATTCCACTAAGCAATTACCTATTTGTTTTAACAGTGTATTGAGAGATCTTGACTTAGCGATTGGTATTTATCCTGTGGCCATAATCTTTGGTTAGCATGGCTAAAAATCGATTATCTCATTAATCCGGAGTTTTGTGCGATCGTTCTTCTCATATGCTATTCGTTGCATTCAATTTCCCACTTTACTTTATGTTACTATTTCCACTTCTTTTCTTTCGGCACTACTGTGAACCAACGGAAACGATGTACACTTGCGTCCAAGTTTCGTGTTTATCTGTGAGACTGGCTTGTACTCAGAGAAACCATTATGAATAGAACATTGTGATTAGATTAAATGTTTGTTGAACCAATAATCAAGGCAACGTTAATACACTATATGTGATATATATATATATATATATATATATATATATATATATATATACTCGACTCTAAATCTTTGTTTGTTTTCAGTCAAACTGCAGGGAGAGTATGCTAGTAGAATAACTTTCTTTGTATATTAAAACTTGCGAAGTAAAAGTTCTCCTTTTCCATGTTCCTAGTCATGTATTAGTGAGATCACTTAAACAAAATCCTTACTCAGTTTTTTTTCAAACTATTACAGTTTCATGATTATTCGATTTCTGTATTAATGAATTTTACGCTTATTCAAATACTCTGGTGTGAGGGGATTAGAATTGTTCGCACTCTATATCTCGAAATGCCTACATATGTTTGTTGGTTTACGACCTCTTCCAAAGAAGTTCTCACTATGTTTAATGGTTAACAGTGTTTTTTTGCACAAAAAAATGGGATGGAGGTTGAACTCTTAAATCGTGTTGGTATATACGAAGACTTACGTAGGGATATTAGAAATTCCGGACTCGGAACCACTGGTCCACACGAACTCCAGGGAACTCAAAAGGATGAATGGCGAATGAAGTTACTCCAGTTGCCCGCTATCACGTCAGCTAATCTTCTGATGTTGTCCCACTGGATTTGATCTGAATATTTATGTCAAATGTTCAAAGCAGATCACTCTTAGACAATCACCTGTCTCGGTTTGGTTGTCCACATAGTTCTTACACCAGTATTTTATCAGTTTTACATTCATCCTGTATTAGTGAATTCGAGTTGATTATTAATAAACAGGTAATTATTCTTTCATATTCATGTCTTCTAGAAATTCTTCCCAGTAAAGAGTCACATGATGAATTATGCCTTAATATTTGGCGCCAACTTGAATCGGAATCCAACGAGGGAAACAATGCTTCATCACATTCTGTTGCTTCAAATCATGTTGAATCTTTATCTGCCTTTATAAAATGGTTACAAAACTTACAATGTTTTTCTCTGCAAGCTTTGAAACAGTTTCCTTGTGAATACACTAGTAATGAAGAAGGGGTTGACCATACAACCTGTTGTCATGTTTTTGTCACTGGCAGTTTGTATATGGTCGGTCGAATAATGAAGGTATATATTTTGTCTGGTTTTAAAGTATGTTATATAATTGTAACTCAGTCGATAATAGGCATGTTTACTTTTCTGATTGTCATGACCTTCATCTGTCCTTTGGTCCTGTTATTAAATGTGTAAAAAAATCTGTCTTAGAACTTGCAGACGTCCTTGACTGTGCTTTGCTACTTAGTGTAACCTTCAGCCGAAATAGGTAAGTTCGGTTGTGATCAAAATTTCCTTGCAGGCAGGAATTAGCTGATTAATAATCTACTATACAGATGTTGATCAGTTTGTAGAACAGAAGACAACTAAAGTAAATGAATGAACTGTATATCTGAATTAACAGATCATCATACTTACACAAATACACGTGCCTAGTACTATTTAGACGTATAGACCTTGACAGATAAGATATTTAGAGTAAAAATCAAAATATGAACTTCATGATTCGTTTACAATGATAACAGATCACACGTAAACTTGAGGTTGTAGGAATAACAGAAATATGTGACCCAACTGTTCATAATTAAACGTGAAAAAAATATGAGTTATTGTGTTGTGAAAATTAGGCTGCTTAATTTCATCACTATTATTTCTTTACCTTGTTGTAACAGATCTTTTTAATTAAGTGGATATCTAGTCTTATTCTGTTGGTCGATCACTCCACTCATACTATCTAATAATAATAATAGGGTAACAAGTAGCTTTTGCTTTTTTTAATAAGATTCGCTGAAGTTCAATGGCAATGTTTAATCCTTCATTATAGAGTTATGGAGATTGTTGTTTGTTACTGAAATCATGGTCCAGAGGTTAGGCGTTCGCACGCACGCAAAACTGAAGGTCCTAAGTTTGAATCGTGCAAGTTACAGGAGTCGTAGATGCTCACTGCGTTCAATTAACAAACTTGTCACTTATTTATTTGATTTTTTGGTACCGAGTTGTATAAATAGTTTCCTAACAAAATGACAAACAAGATATTTTTGTAAAATTAATTTTCACTCAGCAAGTCGGTCGCCACGGAGACCTTAGAATGTACGTACATCAATTCAAGTTGCTACTAGCACAGAAAGATGAAATTACCATGCCAAATGTCAGAGTATTACAGTTAGTAGCAACATCAATAGTGATAGAAAATAACTACGAATCGAAGATATGATTTTAAGAAAACATCAATCATTAAAATAAATCTAAGTAGGGCAATGATGCATTCAAAAGCTTATAGTTTGTGGGTTGGATGCACCTGCACCATTGCAAACATTTTATAGCCATACAATTGAAGGTTTCTAACCACTGTTTAAAGTTATCATGCGGACACTAATCATGAAGTCTACACCTGTTAACAAGACCTCAGCGCACATATTACTGACTCCATGGACTGGTGCCATGTTTTGATCCGACCCCTCTTAGCTTTCCTCCAGCCTACTTCTACTCATAGCACGTCAAGACAGTCGGTGGGTGGGCATCCTTAGTATGTATATCCTAACCACCTCGATTGCTGGAGATTATCTACCTCATCAATCGATTTGCCATTCTTACCTAGTATCCTATTCCCAACTCAGTTATATTGGAATCTCATAGAGTGTCTTCTAGAATTTCATATTTTCATCTCATCTCAGCAAAAATCTATTAATGTCTAACTCCAGATAGTAATTTTAATCCTAACGCTACAATTTCATTTCCCAAAGCTGTACACAATTATGATTCATATATTATATTATTTCGTTTATTTATTTTTATTAACTTTCCGACTTCTCATATGTCGTCTTGTTTGGTTTTTAGGAAATAAATGAACCTGTTTAAATTTCGATTCTGTTGATCCTCCGTCTGTAAAATAATGATTGGTACGTAATTTGTCGCATGTTTAATAGAAATTAAAACTACGAAATGCAAATATCATGAATAGAGATAATCTTTGATTTGTTCAATTTCGCATACCTAGTCATGTTGGTAGGTGTAGACTACCTGGTTTAGGTCAGCGAGACTATATTAACCGATCGTTGGAGACCTTGAACGACATAGCTCAATATGGTTTGCAATGGCGTAGGTGTATCCACTCTTTGTGTTCTCTCAAATTTTTATCTTCTGAATTCCTCATCACTTTTATCTTTCCCTTTCTAAATATACTTCTTGAATAATAGCTTTGAGCCCTAATCTGTCTGATTACTGCTAATACTTATACTACCTCTACTGCAATGGGATTTAAACTGACAGTTGCGTATCTGTGCTAATGCGGTATGTCAAGTTGAACTGATGTACGTATGTACGAAGTTCTACGCTGTAACTGACTGACTAACACCCGAGCTTACCGGATGAGTAAAACAAAGCGAAAGTTAGAGCTTGGAACATACACCTCATTGGAAACTGTGCTCTTTATATGTAGCATTCACTTACTAAAATAACAGGAAAGTGCTAGATATTGCATACTTTAGCCATTGAGAAGCAGATAAGGTACACATTTGAGAACATTTATCCTCTCCCCCTCCCCTGAATATACGAACATGTTCCACATCTACTGCTTTAGGAACTACTGCGTTCTCGTTAAACTTTAGTTCATTAAAAACCCGCACTGAATAGTCAAATTCAAAGATTACATCATCGAACGTTTTTCCAAAAATTTAATTTTAAATTCTTGTTTAGAGGGAATTATGCAACATCATTTGATGAAGTAAAGATCTTTTGTGTCGGTTACTACTTGGATGGTTTCAAAACACGCTATCTGTAAACTTTAAATGGGTTTACGTTGAATACTGTCAAAATACAAGCCTCCGGTTTCAAATAATCAACCTATAACGCCTCATCTACACGGTTGAAGCAAACATATGCATCCGAAAGGGGTATATTCAGCTTCTCTCTTTACTTTAATCCGTAGCCGGACCACACAATAGTATAGCCTTTTGTGATGGACTCTTAATTGTAATCTTGGCCCTGTCTTATTCCCTATCATCCATTCATCTTACTTAATTTATACGATCTTCTTATCATTGTAGTTTCTCGTATGATTCTCTTATCACCTTACTCCAACATAACATTACTTACTATGTTCACGTAATTTTATTTTTCCAGATTTATTATAATTTTATATTCGAACGTGAGTTTTCTAGACAATTTTTAGATTACTTAATGAATGACTTATTCTAAATGTAACTAAATTGTAACCGACTAAAAATATCTTTATCCTGCTACGTTTAATCCACTTACAAGCAAATAAATCTGTCATGAATTTGTAACTGTTGAGTCTAAAAATCAGATTATCGACAATCATTGTTTTTTGAAGTACTCTTTATGTTTATTGCCTGCTACTTCCTAACCATGCTACCTCGTTAAATACAATAGTTTTAAGTTCTACTGTACTCTTTTCTGGCGATCGCCTAATAAAGACTTAATCCAGACACTCAGGTTTCGGAAATAAGCTTATCAACAGTTTTAATCCTAAAATAGTATCATTATTACGAGTCAATCGGTCAATCAATAGTAACGTAGGACTTCGTACGTAAGTACATCGGTTCAGGTTGCCATATCACATTGCCACAGAGATGCGATTGTCACTTCAAATCCCATAGTAGTAGAGGTACTAGAAGTATTAGCAGTAATCAGACAGATTAGGATTCGAGGATATTATTCAAGAAGTAGAATCTAGTGAAATGAACTTAAAAGAAAAAGATAAAGGTGATGAGGAATTCGGAAGGTTAGGGCTCGACAGAACACAAGGAATGAATGCACCTACGTCATTGCAAACGATATTGAGCCATGTCATTCAGGGTCTCTAACCATCGATTACTATCATCTCGCGGGCCCCAACCAGGTAGTCTACACCTACCGACATGACTCAGTCATTATTACGAGTAACGTATGTCCCACAGTAACCTTTGATGTATGGTAAAAGAATTCACACCGAAATTGTGTTTTTTATCTAACAATATGGACTTGGGGTTCCTGCTTCTGTGTTAACTCAGGATTACAAATTAAGGAGAAGGTTGAATACAGACGTGTGTAGCTTGGTATTCAAGTATAACATTCCTCTCTAAGCAACAATGCAGGCGATAGGCTTCACTTTTTTACCTCATCTAGAACTCAACCAGTTTGAAATTTACCCAAGTCTTCATGTTAAATATGATAAATTATTAGTGCGGTATATATACAGACGTCATGTGACACATGTATCCTAAGCAGCTTCATGGAGTAGCTTTGACATCTACTTGTGTTGGCTGCTTTTTTGGAATAAGGAAGTTATTAGTACCATCATTTCAGAAATACTCGTATATCCAAATCGATTTGGGATCAAGCACCCGCTACATCCATGGTTCTTTTTTTTCTTAATAAATGGAAATGAATAGTGACGTAGGAGGACCGTCATTCATCATTGAAAGCGATCAGCAGAGGTGGTAAACGGGGTAGTACCCTAGGCCCTCGACTCAGTTGATAACTTTCATACTACATTTTAATCGAAATAAGTGTACTAGAGCATTATTTAGTGTAAATTGTGTCTTACCCAAGTTACACCAACTCATTCGAAACGGCGATTGATCTGTGCAGATGCTAGATTTTTCTAAAGTAACTCATCAAAGTCCACAAGG